ACAAAATGGGATGGGTTACAGGGATATTCTCTTTAAAGAAAAAAACATTAAAATTTCATGAAAGTAAGTTTTTAAAGTTCAGATATAACTGAATTATCAATTGTTGAAAGCTTTGAAATTTGAAGCATGCTCTGAAGACACGGGACAATGATTCTATTTAGCTGTCCACTAGAATGCATGCAAGTCGGTTTCAGAAATCTGAAAAGCTGAAGTTTAAAAAGCTCTCTGGACTAAACCTTTGTAGTTCATGTAGAAATAGCACTTTCTGAAGGAAGGAAGTCAAAACATGACAGGAGGGGCCAGCATCCAATATCGGCACTGGTTCATGTCCTGGATGCTCCTCTTGCAAACCAGCTCCTTGCTGGTGGCCTGGGAAAGCAGGAGATGGCCCAAGAGGGTTGGGGCCTTGCTACTTAAGTGGGATACCAGGTGAAGCTTCTGGCTCCTGGCTTCAGTCTGGCTCAGTTGTGGCCAATGCAGCCATCTGGGGAGTGAAGAAGTGGATAGAAGTGCTAATTTCTCCCTCTCTCTGTAACTCTTTCAAATAAATAAATAAATAAATATTGTTAATAAATCACAGGAATCTTAGCTTTAGAAATTGTCCTTCTATTGGCACAGTGATTAGAAAAATCTAATGATTAAAACTAGCTAACTCAGTGTCTGACTTTCTGAATTACTTTCTAATACAACAAGTAGATTGGAAGTGAAATGTCCTGACAACTGCTTCTACTCTCTACCTTTGTGTAAATATCCCCCTCCAAAAACAAAATGCATAATGTTGATGCAACATTGAAATGTTAAAGATCCTTAAGACTTGCGTTTCCTAAGTGGTGAACATATTATCAAATGTGTTTTACTCAGGGAATTGAGCCTCATAAGGTAGGTATACTCTGCATAGAATTGATCAGACAATGCTTTTCCTAAGATATTTTGGAAAATATAAGGGTTAACGTTTGATTTAATAGATTTGAAAGTTTGTTGTATTTTTTTAACAAGATGTTTATATTTGTATACACAAATATCTTTTGCAACTGTTATTCAATTTTGTCTTTACTTCAAACATTTAATGTAATGGTTTATTTTAGAATACAATTTCAGCATGGCTTGGTCTTACTATTGGTCTATATGCTTCCTCTAATCGGAGCCCTTTCCAAGATTTACCCTAAAATAACATAAAATATAGAATCACCATAAAATAATCAAGTCTAAGATGTCAAGTACAGTGAAATATTTTAATGATTATATATTACTAAGGATTTGGTTTGTCTTAATACTTAAAAAGTGATATAACATTAAAAGTATGGAAATTCTGAGAAGTTATTATTTTGATATTTAGGTTAAAAGAATTCCTTTAAAGATCAAAATGATGTAATTATCATTATCTAAAATACTGACAAGATACAATATTTTTGTTATTGATCAAAAGCTGTTAATTTGGATTAGCCAATCTTACAAAATGCTTAAAGGTTTCATAAGACAAGTCCCCAAAATATTTTGTTAATTATAAAAAAAAAGACAAATTCAGGCTTCATTATAATTTGAATGTTCTTTATAATTCAATGGGATTGGAATCCTCAATTGAGTGCTTCACCTATGGCATTTCTGTTTAAGCAGAATAATTTAAATTATATACATATACACATCAGTACTTATTTTAGCATATCTATTCTTCATTACAAATTATTTTTAATAAAATGGAGACTCTAGATTCACAGAAATAAATGACTGCATGTTACCCTAAAAGTTTCAACACACATTATAAAAAAAAATCACAATTCAAAGGAAATGCATTTTAGAATTAGACCACAATTTTAATCATAATGTGCAAGTCACATTAAAGAAGACTGAGGCACAGTGGTTAAGAGTCGTCTATATTCCTTCCTTGTTATATGTAAAAAAAGTTGGTTTCAATCATTGAACATATGATTCCACTTACTTTCTGCTCTTTTGGTATTGAATTAAAGCAGATACAAATTGGCCCTTTATTGGTTGAAGTAATGTTTAAACTGATGTCATTTACAGGGTGAAAAAAAGTGTTGTTTTCCACAAAATTTCATTAATCATATCATAGAGGCAAATATGCTTAACTGCTAAGTACCTAACCTTTGGGGAAAAAATGCAGACCTACCTTCATTTCCAGAGTTAAGTCTCTATTCATCTCCATAAGACAAGGTTTTCACAAAATGTAAGACAAAGCAGGTGTTAAATTACTTAACAAAACTCATAATTTAAATAATTAAAACTAATTTGTTTTTAAAGCTATTTGCAGATTTATTAGAGAAACAAATACAAATATGCATTTCTACAGAACTGTTTTTTTTTCCAAAATGAGCTTAAAACTTGTTCCACAGTTTTTACTTGTTTATATATCTATGGTAACCCAAGTATTGGCTTCTGTACCACTTGTAATGAGACAATTGCCCTTCCATTGCGATTATAAAAACTATTTAAAAAAAAATTCAGCACATACACGTTAAATATTTTTTCCTTAAAAAAATAA